TGGACTGCTAAGGGTAGTTTGATGAATACAGAAATTTACAATTATGAATTTTGTCTAGCATCTGCAGAAAGTTCAGTTTCTGCCCCTGACATTTTACCATTTACATCAACCCATCACCATTCCTGGTACCGTGGTTACCACCCACAACTTAGTGATGGAACCGAATTCTACATCAGTATTAAGGCAATTAACAAAGCTGGAAAGGAAACTGTTCAGGTTGGTGGCGCTTGTTTATGATTCTAGTACTTTAATCAAATATTGGTTTATTTTTCTACAAAAGTTTAAAAAGTTAGAATATTCCGATAAGACTTATGGTACCCATAAAACATGTTATAATTATTTTCCAGGGATTAGGTCCGATCTTAGTTCATACTATTCCCCCTACTCTTGGTGGTGAGGTATTGGTTAAATTTGAGGATGAGATATTGGAAGCCGATTGGTCAGCAGCAACTGTATCTGATCCGGAATCGTCGCAACTTACCTTTACAGCGGCCGTAGGTAAGTTTATGCATGAGTTCTGCCTTCGCGAAAACACCTTTTTTTTTAAAGAAGATAATATTTTTAATAAGTAGTTTATAATAGTGTTCGGGAATGGGGTCAAATCTGACAACTATTAGGAGAATAGTCATCATAAAATTGTATTCGGATCTGAAAAACGAAACGGTTGTTCTTTGTCATGAATATACAGAAGCAATATATATATTTCATTATACAGGTAGTTCACCGGGAAGTGAAGACGTCTATCCTTATTCTTCCTTATCGTCTGGTGGAAGTTGTATATTAGCTAACCCACCAACCTGTACAGCTTTTTCCATGGAGGATCTTCATTGGGATTTACATCACAACTTTACCTACTATGTATCTATAAGAGTAGAGAACATTGTTGGATTACACAGTGTGTTCACATCTAATCCATATATTCATAATACCAGAAAACCAGCAAAGGGAGTTGTATTTGAAGTTGTTCTACCTGATGAGGCAGCTGACTTTGGAGTTAATGTAAGCTTTTTCATGTAAGCTTTTTCATCTATGCTTTTTCATGTAAGCTTTTTCATCTAGTTTAATGCACATAATAACCTTATGGTATTGTTATCATGTCTTTGTGTTAGCTGTTTGGTAACTTCGACCGGGTATCTCTTCTCATACACTGCAATCTACATAGCTGATTACAGAAACCTCTATATCCACTAAACGGATATTACAAAATACCTTTGTAACATAGGCTTTCATCTGCGTTGTATTTCTCTATTAGAACACATTTGTTTATGTTTATATAATTTTCCCTTTAGGAGTTAGAAGACAGTAATTTTCAACTGTCGACCACTAAATTAAAAGCAAGATGGTTTGGGTTTGAATCTGATGATGTGGCCGAACACGTGACTTACAGTATTGGTATTGGTTCACAACCACTTGTTAGTGATATAAAAGATGAAAACGTTGGCAGTAAGACCCAGCATACGTTTCTCGGGCTTAATTTACAGCTGCACAAGGTAAGTATAATCTTTTAATGCAACAATTGTATACAAAAGCTACAAGATACTCGTTCGTCAGAAAAATCTCCTTATTGCTCTGTCCATAAATGCTCCCCATCCTTTCAGACCCGTGTAGACTGGTTAAATTTCCGGAAAAAGGCCTTCCTTAACAATCAAGGAGCATTTTTAAGTAAAAGTGGGGAACCAGGCCTTTCTAATGATTTTGGTTTGCTGAATACGAATATACATGTTCCCAAGCCGAAATACGAGTTTTTGACCGTCTAATTAGCATAAATACAAAATGGCCGCCAAATGCTGCTAGATTGTCAGATATATTGTTAACTATTGACTTTTGGGCCTAATGTATTACAGACATATAGGAAGTCGACCCCAATAAAACAAAAAATGATGTCATTATGCCCCTGTGAAGTCACTATTACGTCATATCCAAGATGGCCGCCATATTGATCAAAATTTTGTATTGATGTCCCTTTCCGTTTGGATATTTGTGCGTGTCTACCATAATGTACAGGGAATAAGCTGAAAATTTCAGTCAAATTGCTCAACTCTGAACCGAGATAATAGCGATTGACTTTTGGGCCTAGCCTCCACAGCAAAATAAACGCCAGTACGATTTCAAAATCATAGAGGCACTTAATCAAATCATTCTAAAAAAACGACTTACTAAATGGATCAAAGTAATGTTGACACATTAGTGATTAATTCATCACAATTTCAAGACTTTACGAGAAGGTTTAGAGTCTGTACACAAGTCTATACCTAGTGTATCCACCACGAGTATCAATAACAGCAGCACAGCGTCTGTACATGGAGTGGACCAGACGATTGGTGAACGTCATTGGCACCTGGAACCACACTCTCAGAAAAGTCTGGCACAATCCATTGGCTGTGTTTGGTCTCCACTGAATTTCATCCCAAAGATGTTCAATTGGGTTTAAGTCCGGACTAAGGGCTGACCAGTGCATAACGTTGACATCGTTCTGCTGTAGAAAGTCCCGAGTAACTCTGGCGGCGTGGGCACAGGCGCTGTCATGCTGGAAAACGTTGTCTCGATGACGTGCGAAATGTGGTATGGCGTGGGGTCTGAGAGCTTGGTCGATGTAGCGCACTGCTGTGATGCCGCCTCCTCTCCCTGGACCAAGATTTTGGAACATCACAGGACACACTTTCTAGTACAGGCCAATTCCACCCCAATCCATTATGCTTGGACCACCCCATGAGTCACGTTCCATGACACATTGGTCAGAGCAACGCTGGCCACTTCGACGCCATTTTCTGGTCCTGCCATCTGCAGTTGATGCGCAATACCGACTCTCAAATGTGTTGTTGGGCAAACTGTAGACGTTCACGTCGATGACAATCTAGCAGCATTTGGCGGCCATTTAGTATTTATGCTAATTAGAAGGTCAAAAACTCAAATTTGGGCTTGGGAACATCGATATTCGTATTCTTATAGTCTTAAGTCAAGAAATTACTCAAAATTTTTCGCCTTATTTTAACTGAAATATAGCCCTTATAAAACAGTGTATCAAATGCGTCAATAAGAAACTATGTGCAAAGTTTTGGGTTTCTGGATCAAAGATATTTCTCATAAACAGTGACTGAAAATTGAGTAAATTCTTAACTTAAGTCTGAAAATGTTTTGTGAACTTGGGGTCAGATTTAACGAACATTTGACTAGTCTAGTGCACAACTACAGAAATCTACATTTGTATGTATTGGTATTATTTTGTCAATATTACTATTGTTACTATTTTTAGACATACTTTGTAACAGTAACAGCTAGGAGTGACGCTGGAACAACAAAGGCATCGTCTAATGGTATCACTATAGTCCAGAAAAATGTTAACCTGAATAATGAAGTTCGGATAAAAGATGGCTCTGATTGTCAGCAAAAGGGTAAATTATTAAACAGCCTTATTCATAACTACAGTGCAGTTTACGAATAAAGATTACCTTACAACCACATTTTTTTACGAATAAACATTGCCTCGTAAATACTGTATTGATGATTAAATTTAGATTACCCTGGTAGATATAAACATTTGACATCAACTATAATATCATCTCATAAAACCAATAGTTGGTGTAGGCCGACAGCAAGGGACACATTTATGTCTCTTGTATTTGATATTAAGTACTGCTGACAATGTACAATGCGTAATATGGCTATAAAGCTATTTTACTCTTAATTTTAATCCAATTTTTTTTCAAATAAAACATCACATTATATGCCTATCCTTATACCATATTACTTTTTTTCACTTTAACAAACATAGAAAGACTATCCTGGCTACCAAACCACCATTCGCAACAGGTGAATTATTTTCCTAATATTAGTAAGATAAGAATAGTACAATATTGATTTTATTGAACTGATACTGGAAGTATTAATAGTTATTGGTATTATCATTTTCATTTATTTATTTATAATAAATTCAATTAAGAACTCTCAAATATTATACGCCATTTTTTTCTGACACAGAATTCAAGCTCAGATTGTGAGTCGGATATTGACTATCAAAAATCAACATCTTATTACATGGCACATTGGACAATATCAAATGCATATAAACATATGTATCCTGATATTAAATGGACGTTACAAATGAGACAGAAAAACACAGGTAAATAAATGATTGATTTACTTTGAAATAAATCATTGAATTACTTTGAAATAAATAGTTAAATTACTTCGAAATAAATGATTGAATTACTTTGAAATAAATGAATATAATGCATTGGTAGAGGTTGATATTGTTGACTATAGCATTTGGATATATTTATAATTAGAATAAAAAAAATAGAATCTGTAGAGTAGTAGCGTTCGATTGTTAAAATTTACATAAATTGTATGGTTGATAAAAATAAAGAACTTTGCACGGCAAACTGATATTAAAATGTTATTATTGTTATTATTAAATTATTATTCATTGTTTAACAGAGGATATATGGCACAATGTAGACGATAAGAAGTTTCTATCAAATTCTGGTCAAATCTTCCAACCAGTAGCATTAGATTATTGTAAAACATATAGAAGTAGTGTGAGGTTCTGTTCGGGTGAAGTTTGTTCTCAACCTGTAGTCAGTAATGGTGTAACAGTGTTGAGCAAACCTGATATGCCACATATAGCTATACACCACAAAAAGATGCATGGATCCCAGGTAATTCAAATATAAATAATATAATCCAACTAATTAAGATGTTTTTTTTTCTATATGTCCAATATTTATACATAATCAAATATTTAATTTGCAGCTCACTATAGTAATTGTTGCTGGCAGAATGATAACACAATCACCCAGATATCAACTTTACGTTAATATAACGTTGTACCAACAAATTAATGAGCACAGCGACTGCATAACCTAACTAAGTATACAATTAACACGGTATGAACCTAAAATCTGCCAATGAGCTACTAAATGTAATCTGATATGAAGGTTTGATTTATTATAATACGGTTATCATTTTATGTTTTATTCCATATCCCAGTTAGATGTTAGCTTGACTTACAAGAGTAATACCGAAGATAAAGTGTGTTCTGTGGTGTCTACCAAAGATAAATATATGTGGAGTATAACAGATAATAAACACAATAGTCATTTATTCACTAAATGGAGTAAAGTAAACAATGTGCAGAAAATCAGTGAGACAATGGTAAGAATCTAAATTTTAAGATTGTCTGTATGTTTGTATAAATCTGTTACAGCTGTATACATTATGAAAATGCCCTAAAAAGTAAACTTGATTACAGATTTTAGGCAAACCAATAGACAGAAAAGGGGTGGTAAGCAAACGTGGTGTGCACCACACAAAATGTTGCGTTGAAGCGAAAACATTTGTGTGGTTCTTTTCAACATGATAACTATGCAACCACGCGAACCTTTGTTCGAAATTGTGCCATAAAGACAAACTATTTCATGTAATATTTTTTTATTTCTTAGTTTCAGTTTAGAATTAATTTAGATGGTGAAGTTGATTTTAGTGAATGCAGAAGATTGGCTGTACGAATATTTAATAAAGCTGGTTTATCAACAATAATATCGTCGGATATTAAAAACTGTTCATCTGTAGATCCGGTATTAATTATACCGGCTATTATTATAGATGCTATAGGACAGCCATTAAATAACGGTAAGTACTCTTTGAATATATCGTGAAATTGAAATAAACACACACACACACACACCCAAATACACACTCGCTGTTGTGACAGATCCAATAATTATGTTGTTGTTAGTTAGTTGCAGGACGGAGGGGCTGACAAGGAAAGCTGTCTAGTCGTTCGGATGGGACGAAAAACCGAGGTTCCGTGTACACATTGGCGTGCACGTAAAAGATCCCTTGGCAGTTGGAATTCGATATAAGAGTAGGCCGTAATGCCGCTGTCCGGGCAAAATTTCCGTCATTAGCCCAGGTTAGGAGCAGAACAGTAGGACGTTAAATCCCATTTCATTTCATTTTGTTAGTTAGTTATATTTTACGTCCGCTTCCACCGAGGTGATATCGCAGACATGTCCACCCTTTTATGAGTAGCGTTTGAATAATTTGAATATGTTGTTTGTTTTGTATTTCAGATCCCAACACAAATGAACTAGGAACATCAATTTCTCTGGATCAGAACGCAGTCTGGTCTAAACCAGATGTGGACTATACACCTTATAAAAATATTATATCAGCCGTATGGCTCACATTAAGACATAGAAACTATACTTGGGGTTTACTAGAAGACCCAGCATTCTCTACTCTAACACATTTTACTCAACCGAAGATGATGATAACAGATCCTTGTTCACATCCAGATGTTATAAAGTGTGGACAAACCGGTGAGGGAGTTTCGGTAATCTTCAAATGTCATTAAGGCTTTATTCCATTGATTCCTTGTGCCATTTCTTTAAGCCTAACAACTATAATATGGATACGTACTTTGAAGGAGTCTTCGTTGACTTCATCATTAAGACTCCAGTTTTACCGCATTTCTTTATGTTTCTTTTAACAGAAAACGAATACATCAATGTATTAACTCAAAATACTTTAAAACACGGAAGGCGGTATTATATCTGTATCCATGCTGATGCTGTTGATGCTAGTCATGAAAAATGGACGGAAGATTTGGAAGAAGTAAACGCATGTAGTGATGGAGTAACTGTTGATTTGACTCCACCAAATGGTGGTCGGGTGTGGGTGGAGAACTTGAAAGATTTTAAATACCAGGTAAATAGTTCTATATAAATATAGTCGAACCCCAATTATCTCTATCCTAGCATACTCGAAGACGTATAATATTTGCTGTGTCATTCATTCCTTGTAATTCCCTGTTAGCCCGATTAATAGTGTTTCGGGATAATGGTTCCATCCTAGGATAATATGCTATATAGCTATCCGTTGTTTCTAGTATTTGATTATATCTGTTTTAATATACTTTACATCAGTACTGAATTAATGTTTTTGTGATAGTTTTATATGAATAACCAATATATTATTTCAGTCATCTGACAGTGATGTAGCTGTTTACTGGGATAGTTTTCTTGACGTAGAAGAAAATGGTGGAAAAACTGTTCATCCAAGTGGAATATCAAAATATCATTTATATATCGGTAAGGTTAATTTGTTTCAAGGATACGACAGTTATCGCTGAATCCACAAGTTAAAAGTGAACGAACATACCTTATTGTCAATCTGTAAATATGCTGTTCTTTACATTTTGTAAATTTTCTTTTACATATAAAGGTTCTATAGAGGGAGGTGAAGATATTGTAACTAAACATAATGTTGGTTTGATAAATCATAAAATATTCCACCATCTTTCTTTACAAAATGGCCACACTTATTACGTCACTATAGAAGGTAGGTATAAATTCATGTTTCTGTTTCACAATTAGAACTATAAAAAATGTATAACTTAAATAATAGCAAATAGAAACCATTAGATTAAATTTGTTAATCATGTATTAAAGTCGTGTAATTAATTATAAACCTACACACCCCAATCTTCAATACAAAATAAATTGATTTCTATTGCCCGCTTGGCAACATTGCTCGTTCGTTAGTATTCACCCATTTCTTTCATCCCTTTGTTCCATAAGCTGGCTCCATTATTGCTTGTTTAGTGCTATTATTGTTTTGTTTTTTGTATTTTTTTCAGCAATTGATTTTGTAAACAGGACAAAAACCGTTTCATCTGAAGGTTTCATTATTGATAATAGTCCACCAGAAACTACATCTAAACCTATACAATTTACTAATACATATATACAGTCAAATGATGTATTGTCTGCGTGGTAGGTTTATATAGAATATAGTGTTAGTAAACAAAATAAAATGAAAGCCATTATCCCCAGGCAAAGTATTTGGTTACCGGTGTTGTTGAAGGCGTGAAATAGTCAGCCTACCTCGACACGTGTACAATACCTTTTAAAGATCGGAATGCCTCGGTTTCGATCCCATGTAAAAGATCCCTTGGCAGTTGGAAGTCTCCCCTCATAGCACAAGGATGTTGGTGTTGAAATTAATTGTAAATAATGTATTAAAGAGCCTGAGCCATTGTATTTGATTTATTTACAGTTGGAGTGGATCATTTAAAGACACCGAAAGTGGTATAAGTCAGTATCGGTGGGCAATAGGTACTAGACCAGGTCATGAAAACATTAGGGCTTATATGATAACCGATAATGATTGTGATGAAGCGAACCTAGAACACAAATTGCAAGATGGACACGTTTATTACGTCACAGTTCAGGTATATCTCTTATTGTAATTTTACATTACGTTTTTAGATAGAAAAAAAGTTTAATGAATTATGCTTGATGTAACTATAGATAAGTTGGGAACAAACATTGTGCTTTATTATTTATCCCTTAATTATTTCAAAGAAATTGACACGAATCGTTAAGACGGTATGCTTATATTTGACGTAATTTCCAATAGAAAATTTTTCAAATTCATGCTCTATGCTGGTTATCTTTGTATTCTATATACCAATTTTACAATAACTCTTGTCTGTTGTGGTGTTTCAGGCCATTAATGGTGCAGGGTTATCTACTACATTAATATCTCGTCCAGTGACAGTAGACACAACTCCTCCTACCACAGGACATGTCATCGATATTCTTAATACAAACTATACCGGAGATGACGTAGATTATATAACTAACCAATCACCACTTTCTGTTAGATGGCAAGGATTCCACGACCCCCATTCATCCATGCAATACTATACTGTTAAAGTTGGTACCTGTGATGATTGTGATGACATAATTCCAGAAATCAAAACAGGAATATCTACACGTAAGGAAAATATTATTACAAAGCACAATCCAACTTTTCTGTTATAGAACTATTGATGATATTCCCAAGAAGAGGTGGTTTAGTTTTATTGTAAAAATAGGGGCTACTTTCTTTAAAATAAATTATGTAGATGTCGTAACAACCGATATTTCAGATTTTAGTTAAGTTTTATTGTATAAATATGGACTATTCCCTTTCAAATAAATTAAGTAGATCTTCTAATAAATTTTAAAAACCGATACATATTTCAGATTTTACCTTTCCACCGTCCAAATTTACTCCTGGAACAAAATATATCACCACGGTAACAGGGTGCAATATGGCTGACATGTGTACGTCGGCCATTTCTGACGGGGTAATAATTGACGTGACACCACCGGACGTGGGACGAGTTTTAGATGGAACGAAAGATTTAGATGTAGAATTCCAAGCAACCAGGTAATTGAAACACGATTATCAAGTCTGTTTAGTTTTCCGTTTTCGGAACAAACTATAAAATAGACATGAGGATCCACGAATATGATTGGATCACGTTTATCGAGTCTCCTCTGCTATGGGACCGCTGCAGTAGTTATTGTCTTAGAAGGCATTTAACAATAACCCATTTTTATACGTGGTCGTATATTGCCATCGCGCCCGTCCGTCCGTCCACAATTTCTTATGAACACTCTAAAGACTACATTTATCATCTGATTGTTTTAAAATTGATATTATATGCCTACATTATTGATATGAAGATTCTATTTAACAAAAGTTACAATCCTAACCGTATGATGTTGATATGCATCATTTAAACTAGTGAAACGAAGAAGCCTATTCAATATTCAATTTCGTCAATTTGTCCTGTAAATGACCTCATATGCTACCACCCTTGTCGATGGGAACTTATCTTAATTAGATGATTGACATTTATAAATTGGTTCTGAGCAGTTAGTTAGGGTTATATAAGAGTGTTGCAATTATTATCTTCCAGAATCAGATTCTACTACTGAACAAATTAACATAATGTGTTGTGTGCAATTTTTAAGGATTGTCATCCTGATTTCAGAAACTTTGTTGGTGCCAAATGGCATGGGTTTAAAGATGCACAATCTGGTATAGCGAGATATGAATGGAGAGTAGGAACAACCATTGGAGGCGAAGGGTTACTTAGCCCTCAAGTTTTACCAGTGGTGGAACTGGCCTATAGATCTAATTTACCTAATTATAAGCTATTGCCTATTGATACTAGAATTTATATTACTGTTAGATGTTACAATAAAGCAGGTAGGACTCAAATTATTTTAATGACGCTAATGATGCTTACAAAAACAATAATTTAAGTTATATCTTACTTGAACAAGCATTACTGTTGTGGACCCAATGTATAAATTCGTAATATATGTAGTAAAAGGGTTCCTACACGAAATATGTTCCCTTTCTAAAATTGGTTAGAGTTATCACCCCTTTGCGGGATAGAATATAGAAACATGAGGGCATGTCCTCTAGACCCGGCTTCATTGTAGACGAATCGACATCTTTCTTTTGTAAAATTGCATAGGATTACTGTTATATTTATATCATCATCGTTTGTATTATTTATGTATTTCAAAGCCGCCACTGCACCTAGATTTTATATTATTAGGTTTATACAGCGAAGTTACATCAAATGGTTTTAAGATCGATACAACATTACCAGTAGTAGTACAAAGGGCAGTCCCCGTCTCATCGTTTAGTTCTATTTTACCTTCAACTACCATATCAAAATCTAGTATTAAAATTGAATGGAAGTTTACTGATGATGAATCAGATATAGAAAGACAATACATTTCTATTTCACCTCATTTATTGGGAGATTTTAATTCTTCAGCTATGGAGGTAAGTCCTATCGATAATTTTAAACATATTTTATTTTTTGAAAAATTAAACATTTTGATAAAAAAATAAGCATGCCTATAATGAATTCAGTCATTTAGAAAAATACAGTGGCATTACGAGGATGACCACTGGACATTGCCTGAGTAAAATTGCATAGTTGGAAATTTTACTATTTTAAAAATGCAGTGGTTTTACGGGTTTGTCTAATGAACGGTGACGAAGTTAAATTGTATAGTTGGAATACTTTTAGTTTTAGAGAATATATTACTATTTTTGTTTCAGATTCCTAGTGTAGTAAAAGAATTTACATTTTCTGGTCTAGCTCTACACGATGGGAGTAAATATAAAGTTAAAGTGATTGGTTGTAATTTAGCTGGTTTGTGTCTGTCGAGTGTTACAGATGATATAACAGTTGATTCTACACCGCCTACCAGAGGTACGTGTATTGTTTGTATCGATTAAAAGTGTTTATACTTATGCTTACATTATATAAGAACAAATGTCGTGATATCTGATAATTCATTCTCGATCTAAATAAATCCACGTACTCTAAGAAAACAGGCAATTTTAATTTTTTATTTGTTTTCCACTTTAAAATAAGTAAATAATCTGATAA